TCAGTGAGTCAATATATTCCTCAGAAACGTCCATACGTTTCGCCACAGCCTAAGAGACAGCGACCCACATTTCCAACGCCGTGAAAAGCTAAACCTTATGTTGGAAGAGTTAAACTCTGCAACCGATGAAACAGATTTACTGAACCTAAAAAAGCAGGCCACTTTCTCCTGTAACCATCAATTAAAGATGGAAAAATTAATGTTTCAGGGCCTACGAGCGGTTCTCTGGCCAAACGGCCAGCTGTCTTTCAACAGAAGCTACTTGCGTTTGTCATAAAAATAACAAGGTCTGGGAAGAAATTACAAGTTTAAATTTACTTAACATGAAAAAGTAGAACACACGATTATTAGTTACAAGTTATCCAACAACTTGTAATAAAACGAGGGTCTTTATAATTTGTAAGCCTGATCTTCACATCAAGGATGGGCTGGGAGGTACATGTAGCAAGCAGCGAGAAATGAAAATACATAAAAAACTTTATTCAGCAAACATGATGGAGGAAATGCCACAGCAGTGGAAGGAATCTATTATTGTATTAATTCATAAGAAAGGCGGGTTTTTGTGAACACGATGATGAACCTTCGAGTTCCATAAAGAAATTGGGCTCTCCTCCTAAAATACAAGGCATGGAGTACGCCACTCTAAAATCTTGAAAACATTTTGTAGTGGGTTCTATCCGAAAAAAATAGCAATTTTCAGACTCGCCGCTGTGAAAACCTCAAATCCTACAAACAGGAAACTGTTTGCTCTAGGACAAAAAACTTATAATTGCACTTAAATTATATATTTTCAAGAAAATACTCGAAAGGATCTTTCTAAAAACGTTATATTAGACATTTTACACAGGCTGCAATGAACAAGTAAGAAGTTTGATTTGTTTAATATCTGTTCTGGTTGAGGTCGTTCTCTTTGAAGGAAGTTTGTTCCGTGAGCTGTTTACCGATCAATTACGCATAGCAAATGTAAAGCTTTCATCACGTAACAACATGAAAGGCCTTACATGATTCATGCTCATTCCATTCAGCCCAGAACTACACGCCTTGGTGGTAGATTAGTTCCGAGGCCTATGGATATACGAAGATCATATTAAAACAGATCGAAAAGAAATACTGTCTGTGTACTTAATTCGAGCGGCTCGATATATCATCTTCACAAGAAGGGATCCTATTCCATGAACTTGCAGAACAATAGCAGCTAGTGCACAAATGGGACAACATCTTAAGGCCAGAGCCCGATGTATCGTGCTGTCAGAAAAACACACCAACCATGAACACCATTACAGAAGGTGAACGATGACCAAATAACCATGACGGGCCGTCCAGCGAGCGCTTCCTAGACGTAACGGGGTCTCCGACAACCGTTATCAGTCCGTACAATTCAAGTCAAACTCATCATTAACTAAACCAGAGCTCCTTGTTCCATGGCGCTGTAGTCAAAGGGGTAGAGGGTCTCTACATTGTTTTCTGACAAGCGGTAGAACACCGTGGATGGGGATCGGCCCATCACAAATTTCTGCCGTTACAGGAAAACCCAGCCAAAAGGGTGATTTACACCTGGAACTTCTGAGTGCGGGCGACTTTTACAATAAACGGCATCTTCCCCTGGGACCACCAACAAAGATCGAACCATGGAATTAGCCAGTAAGTTACCCCAATAAGCAGTTTCCTTGCGCAACGAGTAATGCTGGCCTGCTGTATGGTATAGCGGGGGGAAATACCCAATTTATAGCTTCAAAGGCAAAACGTATAATTTTCCATGGAGCCTTTTCTCCATGTCCTCCGTATGCCTACATGGCGTGGACAGTTGACGAACAAATGCATGCGGCTGTTTTATTAGTGGTGATATGTTGACAAGTGACAGAATAATAAGTCTTGCGTAGTATACAGTCCGGGCTCCAATGAAATAAAACCATCTTTTTGTCAAATAACTGCAGTTGGCACAGCCACAAAAAACACCGGGCATAAAATAACCACGAAAAGTAGTTGGACGTGAGGGAAACAAGATGCTGCATTACAATAACTGAAATGCGCACACTTTGCAAGTCAGTGTTCAAAAGTGATTTCGTAGCACACAAGAGTGTTGAGGCTTTCTTAGTCGCACTGTACATACAGTTCCCCCTTGCCTCCCCCAAAGCTCCCAGGGACCCAAATACCAACGAAAAACACTAGCGCCCTCAATGAAAAGTGCACTCACGGCTCAGGCAGTATTTCCCACCTGAAGACGCCGGGCTGAAAGACTGCCAATAAAGTACGAAGAACGAATTCGAAGAAGCAACCGCTATCTGTGAAATTGCATCAGTCAAATTCTTCCAATTTTTTTATATCTGTTAAACACGTCACCAGATTTCTTAAACATTCGGCCTGTGCAGTACGGCCTATTGCTTTTGACTGTTCTGTCAATACTCGAATAAACTCCTGAGATAAGCCGCTTAGAAAGTAACGGCGTAGTTTATTTCTGTATACATAAACCACGTTTAGTTATTTTCGACGGGAACACAAAATTCACACACTAACAAAACCAGCTGTACCGCAGGTAGTTTAATGAACAATGCGAAAAGTAAGGAGTACCCAAATTTAAGACGTAACCAAGTTCGTCACAGGCTCGGGATTTCTTTCTTTCCGACAAAGCTTATTTTTATGAGTACATAACAAGAGGGACGTGTTTCCTTTGCTTGACAGCCGCTGCCACACAGTTTCGCATAAAACAATGTAACGAACTTCATTAATATTGTTCAAAAGCAGTATTTTATTTATACAGGGCAATCGCAAAGTCTCACAACCCATTCCTGGCACGTTCTAATTGTTAAAAATAAATTACATTGAAATTAGTAAACAAAACAAAAATCATGAAACCTAATTATGCGTTTCTAATGCGAAGTACTGAAAAACCTGTTCAGTCACAGTGGCTCTTATTTCTAAACTTAACGCCATTCTCAAATGATGAAAAGACATTTCCAGATTACGTAGAAAGCGAGAAGCAGACAAGATTCCGAATCTGCCGTGCTAAATATTCTATTCAATGAAAAATATATGATGCAGGAATTCAATCAAGAGTTTCTTTACACAGACCAACCACGAGACTCGTATTCTAAAAATGCGAATCTCACATGAAAGTTCTGCTACTTAGTTTCTTATCAGGCACTGATTTACGTCTATATATTTTCCACTTTTTAATATATATATATATATATATATATATATATACTGCGAAGATGCGAAATAGATTTAAATTAGTTTAGGATAAGATCCACTAACGATATCTTGTACTATGACTTTATATTCCATTACAACAAGAAACATTTTTGGCAACTCAATAATTGTTAGTTGCTACAGAAAGTAAAGAATGTGGAATACATGTGTCATGTTTAGCAACTAACCCAATATTTTCATCGAGGGCACGAAAAAATCAATCTAAATTACCTCCGGGCCGAGTTCAAACCTCGGAACGTCCCTGTACAAAGCACAAGTGCAAAGCGCTGCAACACACAAACCAAATTAAAAGGAATGGCTCTGGCCCTGAAGGAGGAGAAGAAGAAGAAGAAGAAGACGGTGTGTTTCTCCGAAACGATGGTATATACCTACACGTCCACACGTCACAGCCATGAAGGGCAACATCGACGTCTTCAACACCGTGAGAACCTCAACCTCGCACTTTCAATAGAATCGCTTACAGACAAGTTTGCTCTTTACGAGTTCAGCTACACAAGTAGATTCTACGACCATATAAATTAAAAGAATTCAAGCGTTTCAGAGCGACGGTGCACGATTTATATAGACACGAAGTTTTAAGAGAATTCTGCTTCAAATGTGTCGCACAGCAGCGCTATTAAGAACAACGTATAAGCCAAGACATACAGCCTACACGCAGAATATTCGCCCAGAGAAATCGTGTTCACGTCTCCTTGCACCAAGTGCATAAAACGACAGACAACGGGGGTATAATTGCCAGTCCATACGGTTCATCCCTAAAATTAATCAGCGGATTTTGATTAAATTTGGTACGAATGTGTTCACTAAATCCGTACAGATGTAAATCTGAGAGTGGCATCTTGTCTGTTGAAATCCTTTTTATCAGTACATGTGAACAGACAGACCAACGGGGAAAACAGAATCCCTAGGGAATTTTCCC